GAAAAATTAGTGGGGTTTGTTTGAAAACCCATGCCCTAAAACCTAAAAGTAATCATGAGAAGTGATTGATTGATATGGGAAACTGTTTCGCATAAAGTAGTCATAATTACGCATGACATCATTCTGAGGAGACATGTGGTTGAAAGCTTGGAAGAGAAAACACCAAAGTCCTCCCGTCGACAGAGGCTCTATCGAACATGGCGTTTTGGGGGGTAATTTGTTGACAAGCAATTTTTGACCAGGGAAGTAAGCCCTCAAGCCGTAAGGTATCTTTGGTTAGAAAGGCCTGTTTTCATAAAGAACAATGGGATGCGTTGACCAAGTCAAAGAAGTATTTAACAAGGAAGGCTGGTCAATGAAAACACATATGTTGGAGGCAATCAAAGACATATACGAATGTCGACAGGCAATGATAAATTGCAGAAAAAGCAGTTATCAACTCACAAGCTAGCAAGAACATGGGGATGTTTCAAAGCAGTTTATGGCAGTTCTCCATGAATCCCAACGTGAGACTAATAATCGTTGACAATTACACTTTTAGGATTTCTATTTAAGCAAACATTTATACTTTTGTTAAAGGTTACATTTCTTCACGTTTAGAGAACTACACTTAAAGTACCTGCATCTAAGAGAGAAACGAGTTCAGACTTAACAATGTATGAATGCTTCCACATTTCAATTCAAAGCAATTTCCAGTTATCACTTTAAATTATAAGTCTTGTCATTTATTTTATTTACTTTGCAATTATCTGTTACTTTTGTCTTTTTATACCTACAAATCATGTATTAACCAATTTTCAAACCAAAACACTAAGTCTAGGATTATTGTAGCCGATCCTGCAAGTAACCTTTAATAAGAGGCTATAGATTGTTCGCGAGAAACACATGGACAAACTTTATCTCATGGGTTTTCTTTTTGTTTTTCAAGATTTGATTGTTAACCCAATTACAATATGTCTTTTCCCTCCTTCTACATCTTGAAGAATATCATTTAGAACATCATATCCATTGTTAAACATCCTAACACCTCTGATTAAATTATTAAGTTTTAATGTTAATAAGGTCACTTTATTTTGGAGTTCAGAATTATCAACTAGGTATTCATCTTCTCAGCCTAGAGTTTAGCTATAATCATCCTCTATTTTACTCCTATTTGATAGACTTTATCACTTTTCTTTCATAGATATTTATAGGAGGTAGTCAATTTATCATGAGATATCTCTTCACTTCTGAAGTCTTTCTTAGAATCCCATCTTCATGTTAAGACAATCACAGTCTTAATAGATTCTTCTTCAACAGATTCATCATCTGACCAAGAAACAGTCAGTCCCTTAGGTTGTCTCTTGAGATAATTAGGACATTCTATTATAATATACCCAAATCCTTCACATTCATGACTTTGATTTCCCTTACTTTGATCATACATATCTCCAATTCTAAGTTTATTCTGGAAATCATGATTATGGCTGATGTCAGATGAAATGTACCTTGGCATTTGATCTTTCCAATCTCTTCAAAACTCTACTAAATTGACTTCTAAATAACACAATAGTGTCTAACAATCTTTTTTTAGAATCTATAGTATCAATAAATATACTCTTGTTGGAGCTCACCCAATAAACAGAACATGGTGTCTTCTCTGATGCCAATTAAAGTTATGGAACTTGCAATACAAATGTCAAGACTTATGTCTCAACACAAAAATACAATGTTAGGACAGATGTTACAATATCATCTGCTGACATAAACTTTTACCAAAATAGAAACTATACAAAATTAAATTGTAGAAGGTAAAATAACACAGTTAATTGTTAACCCAGTTCGGTGCAACGCCACATACTATGGGGACTACCAAGCCAGGAAGAAAATTCACTATAATAGTATTAGTTCAAAGCCTAAACAATCCCAGTTTACAACTTATCACTTAATCACAATGCTATAAAATTTCTATCTAGGAACCTTATAGATATGAGAACCCCCTCTTACTTCCAATCACCTCAGTGATAATTACAGTCACAAACCAGTGACTAGAACAAAAGAACCAAATAGAAAATTATACTTCCAATAAACAATACTCAACTCTTCTCTTGAGCGAGAATAATACATATTTTTACTTAGAAGCTTTAAACTAAAAATAATAAGTCAACCTCAATGTATCAAAGATACATGAGTGACATATAAAGAAAACACAAAGATCCTAAAATACTCCTAAAACCCAAAATCCTTATATTACACCCACGATTTTTCTTGTTCTGAATGTTTGCTATTTTAGGTTTAGCAAGTCCTTATTTATAGACTCTTGCAGAATGGGCATGGACTCTTCAAACAAATCCAATCTTCGATTTTAAATCAGCTGCAAGATCTTCACACAAAAATAGGAACAAATCTTAAAAGTTTCCTAAAAAGTCTCCAAGATCCTTTTATGAAATCAAATTAAATATGCACTTGTTACTAATAAAATATCCTTGTGCTGCGCAGAATAATGGGATGTATCCAAAATCATCTTATAAAATCAAATCAAATTTGTCAAGAGATATAACAACAATACCTAATATACAATAGGCCAAGATGTCAAGATATCTGACTTAATATCTATCTAATATACATGACAGCAGAACATATCATGACAGTTGGTCAAAATGTTATGACATCTTGCTCAACATCAGTTCAGAATCATGTTTTAGAAAAATTTATGTCAATCATAAAATCATGGATCTAACAAGAAGTATATAGAAGTTGCATAAGAAATGATGGGAGTATTTAAAAAGGTAGAAAATATTTTTGACTGAATCTAATCGATTAGAACATAATGTTACTCGATTAGATTATCAGTCTCTTGAGGAACAAGGCAGTTTGAACGCACTCAGATGCTATACAACGACTATATAATACTTTTTCCTATTTTAGAACTCATAGCCGTTATATTTCAATGAGTTAATCGACTGGCTTAATCAATTAACAACAATCATTTTGGCTTTAATGATATTTCCTCTTTTGGGGAATTTCAAACCTATAAATAGAGGTCTCATTTCTTGTTTCATTTCATCCAGAAAACAATTTGTGTATTGACACCCACCCACACACACACTCTCTCTCTCTCTCTCTCTCTCTCTCTCTCTCTCTCTCTCTCTCTCTCTCTCTCTCTCTCTCTCTCTCTCTCTCTCTAAGTCTTTATTTTCAGGTTCTCTCACTAGTTCTTATCGCCAAATGTTTTTTTTTTTGAAGAAATATCTTTTATGAGTGAGATGTTCTTGTAATTCTGAATGGGTAGCATTGTATAAGTTCTCAAAGAATGTTGTTTATGCATCTTGGATGAACACATTTCATTTAGAGATAAAATATGTAGTTAGAAACTAAACCTGTTAAAATCTTTGGTTGGAGATTGTGTGATCATTTCCTATATTTATTATAGATTGAAGATCGTCAATGTTGATGAACTTCCCTTAGCCTTCTAGTAAGCCTTGTTTGTTTAAAGGTTGAAGATCATCAATGTTGATGAACTTACCATTGGTTTATGGTCAACCTATTTAAAATCATAAGTTAGAAGATCAATCTATTAAAATCTCAAGAGGTTATTGATTATCCTGTTAAACCAATTTGAACTCAGTTATTTTTGTGAAACTTGAAGACTAAAATGATAGGTGTTGAACTTTTTTATAGAGTAGACAGTTAAAACCATTCACGTGTGATCATACATCTTGCACGAAGGATTGTTTGATTACATTTGACGCTGGATGGTCGTTTGAAGTCGAGAATCAAATATAGCTCTCATGATTGTAAATATTTTAAATTTTTAACGTGTTGATATGAACCTTCTTAAATTGAGCCTTATCATGATTAAACTTTTATGTCTTTAGCCTAGAGACAGTCTAGAATACTAACCATTAATTTCATTTTAATGGGATTAAAATCCCCCCTACCCCAACTCTATAAAAATTTATATATTTCTTTGAATTCAATAACTTTTACCAAAAATTCAAATCAAACATGAAACGCACCTACTAGATAAAATGATGATAAAAAAAGTGATTTGAAGATAAGAATACAAATAAAATAAGATTTTAGACTCTGTTCCTTTTCCAACTGCATGGGATCCACGTGACTACATCCATATGGTATATTCTTTCAATTATATATTTTAAATCAACCACCTAATTATCAAATAAAACCACTATATTCGTGTTTATCCATTGATTTAACTTATGTAACAACCATAGTTATATGCTCTATGGGGTGGCACTTTAATTTGTCTGCAATAATAGAATCATAGAAAGAAGGATTGTTCAACTTCTAATCCAAAAGACAGATATTTTTCTAAAAGGAAAGCACCATCTTGTAATTACCTTATCAACAATAGTTACCATTAGATGTTTTCTATTCAATTTTAGAAAAAGTGGGCTCTGATTGAATCACAGTAACTTGATATTTTGATAATCATGTATAGCTGTCCCAGTCTATAAGCTACTTGAAAAAGAAAGAAAAAACTGATCCAAAATTAGTGTAAAACTTAGAATTGTAACTATTTCAACAAGGAGTTGTTATCATACAAGTTTAATACATTCATACCTAAAACATTGATAAAAAAAAAAGACAATTTTTAAGATACTCATATATTTTCCAGAGTTAAATGTACATGTACATATTTACATAGTTACATTGCATGTGCTCAAGAAAAAGAAGTTACGTTACATTACATTACATGTTACAGCCAGTAGATCAGAAACAAAACAAATAGGAAAAACGATACACAAAGGTTGCTTTTAGCCTCTCTCTTCTACTGGGATAGCACATTTCTGGAAATTTCTAGATATATGCATCCAACAAAAGAGAATGAGATCATTATTGTTGCATAACCTTTCGCATTGACGCCCGTTAGAACTATATAAGTTACACATTCGGTCTGTCGAGTGTACGATCGGACTAAATGTGAGTATAGCTATGAAGATATCTCACTTATTTCTTCAAATTCACCGTTTATCCAAACATATACTAAATAACTATTAAAATGGAGCGATAAGTTGGGCCGCCACCTTCTCCTTCTCCTTCTCCTCCTCCTCTGCTTCCCACATGAAATGTGCATAGGATCCCAACACGGTACTACATTAAAAGTTGTTGATTTATAAATATAACAATTTGTTAACATCAAGTCCGATATTAAACCTAAATCAACTGTTTACATTCATTTAACTCGACTAACATATCAGATGAATGTACAATAATACCTATCATCAGGAGCAGCATGAATTGCTTGATCAAAGTAAGATTTAGCTCTTTCTTCATCTCCATACGTTTCCCATATCAACTTTCCGTATAGAGAAAGCAATTCGCCATCTTCAGGATTCGCTAGAATCGCTCTTCCGTAATATTCCTCTGCTCTCACCAAATTTTTTTCTACCTGCACAAATCAAAGTTTAAATCACTTATTTGCTAAACCTGAGACACCCCACATTTGATCCCGACACTCACACCCAAAATAATTTGAAAATAAATAAATAAATTGAATATATATTTGAGGGATGAATTAAGTCAACTCTGGAAAAATTTGACTAACCTCGTGAAGATATTTGCCGTAGTTTCTAAGCAAAAGCGCATCAGTTGGATTTGACTTCAACGTTTCCTCATAATACGCGCCGATTTTAATCCTTTCACCGCCGTTTCCGCCGCTGGTGACTGTCACATCTCCGTGATCGCATCCGCCGCCGCCGAGTCCGGCTTCCTCCAAAGGAAAACATTGTGATCTGGCACGATTCAGGTTGTTAGAAAAGCCGAAATTCTCGCTCGGTGATCGAATTACAGCGCTTTCCGATAACGCTCTGTTGATCCCGTTTGAATTCTGGTCGGTGGAGTGGAAATGCAGTGAAGATTGAACGTGGTGGTTTTTGTCGCCGGAAAATGAAACTTGGCGTGAGAGAGAGGTTCGAGGTGAACCGGGGAGGACCGGGACTGAACCGGTTCGAATGAGAGAAGCTTTCATAATTGCTTTCTTATGAGTCAAAGTGAGAGAGAAGAGGTTTGTTTTATAACAAAGGAAATGATTGTAATTTATAGAAGACGCCGTTAGATATGCTAAAATGTTAGTGTTGACCTTTAGAATGTGATGGTCTACACGTGTTGGGGAAGCACGTACAATCAACAAGATAAATTATAAAGCTTTTTCAAGTATGACTAATTATAAATTTAGGAAATTTCTTTATATATTATTATGGGGAAAAATTCCTCAAAACTCAAAAATATTTTTTTGGAGATATATCTCTAAACGCGTTCTAAATCAGGATATTTTAGAGATGTATCTCCGAAAAAATACAGGAGAAAATATGCAGTGATATTTTCGGAGATATATCTCTAAAACATCTTGATTTAGTTATTTTGGATATGTATCTCTGAAACTCTGGATAATATATATATTTTTTAAATCATCAATGTGTTGATAAATAATTAAATGAAAACAATAATAATAACGCAAATGAAAAATGATAAGAAATAAAAAATAATAATAGACACAATAAATTGTTTAAAATAAAAAATAATAATACAATAATTGCTCATAAATTGTTCTGAAATAAAAAAAGGCATAGTCTACTGCATATGCCTGATCCCCACTCTTTGGTCCCTCCTCTGTCTCTTGTATCCTGTTGCACTCTCTGCCTCCCCAACCATACTCTCTACAATGGTCACCGCCTTAGGATCGCCCCGATCAATGATACCTATGTCCAAAGCCTCCCGCCCAATCATCTGTATCCGATTACAAATCGGCAAGAGATCAATAACATGGTCATTCTCGGCCTGTTGGTTCTCTAAGATCTCCTCATGAGCTGGCCTTGGTGGACGTCTAGGAGCATTCGATGTCATGATAGCATGTGACACTATGTAGAACCATGTCACGTATCCCTCAACATAGTGTAAAAACAATATTTGATTCTGCAATATTTATCTGAGTTTTGATGATAACAAATGAGTATGATTGTATGAACAATTTTGTTGTACTAATGTTTGTTATTGTTGAGTTCTTAACAAACAGGTTCTGCTTCTGATGAATGGCGTGGCCAAGACATTAGAAGAGAATTGATTCCGTTTCTATGCTACACAAATTCTGTTGAATAGTAGCAAGAGACTCCAGAAGACCCTGAAGTATAAACTCTGATATTTGTTTGAAGAAACCAGTCAAAAGATCTGAAAACAAAAGTTTTTACTTATGTCCAAATGCTGAAGACTCGAGCTTCTAAAGACAACATGTTTCAAAGAAACAAAGTTAGAAGATTTGAAGACAAAGTTTCTACTGAAGTCCAGATGCTGAAAGCTTGTGTTTCTATTAATGAAGTTCTAAAGATAAGGGTTCTGAAGACCAAGTGTTGAAGACTCTAAAAGACAGAAGGTCTAAAGATTCTAAAGACGTGAAGTTCTAAAGATCAAAGGTTCCAAGAAAAGGTTCTCACGACCAAGTGCCGAAGACTCTGAAGACGCAGTTCTAAAGACTTAAAGTTCTGAAGACCTGATGTTATGTTCTTGCTTCTAAATTCATGCTCACAGAAGCCTCTGAAGTGCAGAAGAAAAGAAGATAATGTTAACTTGGTACAAATAGTACATGATACAATCAACGTTTCATTCCACTACCATGAAAGGACGGACGCGTCACACGATCTTGTCCCCCACGTTACTGTTCAAGCTGCCAATGTTTCTGGAAATTTCAAAAGTACCCTCAACGGATACATTATGCTAATGGATATATATATATATATATATATATATATATATATATATATATATATATATATATATATATATATATATATATATATATATATATATATATATATATATATATATATATAAAGGCTTGAAGACTAAGAAAGAACGTAGCCAACTAACGAAATATTCATGCGCAAACGTTGTTCATTGCTTTCACATTATTAAGTCAATGTTCATAAAATAGTTTACATACTCAACTTTTTAGAAGCAACATTATTGTAAAAAAAACTTGTATTTGAACTATTGTTTGATATTCCTTAAGGGATCAGGTAGGTCTGAATCCTTAAGAAGTATAGAGCTTGCGAGTTTTAAAAGATGTTAGTCACTTGCGGGTAGCTTGTGCATTGTAATAATCTGGTTGATTATTAGTTGATATTCCTTGAGGGAAGGAGTAGGTCTGAATCCTTAATAAGTCTAGGGCTTACGAGTCTAGAGGTTGTTAGTTACTTGCGGTTAGTTTGTGCAAATTGTAATCATTTTGGTTATAGTGAATTAAGTCCTCGATTGAGTGAGGGAAATCACCTTGGCGGGTGGACTAGACTAGCTTGATAATTTTCAAGTGAACTAGTATAAACATACATTGTTCTTTACTTCCTGTTCTTACTTACTGTTATTTTCAAGAGTGAAGAAAAAAACATTTTAACTTAAAAAGGGAATATTTTTAAGAGAATCAATTTGTTTTAAAAACCCAATTCAAACCCACCCTTTCTTGTGTTGTTCACACCTTCAATTGATATCAGAGCTCCGATTTTGAGAAGATAAAAAGTTTAAATTTTTATCAACACTTAACAGTGTCCAGTATCGATCCAGTGTGTGTGAAAAACCAATGGCTATATCTACTTACACTGTTGATAATAGGGATAATGATAGAGATCACTATAGGTCAAAACCTCCTATGTTTGATGGGGAGAAATTTGACTATTGGAAGGATAGAATAGAAAGTTACTTTCTAGCATATGACTTAGATATATGGGACTTGGTAGTTGATGGCTACACTCACCCAATAGATGATAAAGGTTATAAGATTGCAAGAAATGTAATGACTGAAGCACAAAAGTATGCAGAAATCACTACAAAGCAAGAACCATTCTTCTAAGTGCTATCTCATATAATGGATATGAGAAAATCACAAATAGAGAGACTGCAAAGTCTATTTTTGATTCTCTTTAGATGACACGTGAAGGCAACGCACAAGTAAAAGAAACAAAGGCTATGGCCTTAATTCAAAAGTATGAAGCCTTCAAGATGGTAGACGATAAATCTATGGAAACAATGTTTTCAAGATTTCAGACTCCTGTGGTGGGACTTAAGGTTCTGAACAAAGGTTACTCCACCACATATCACGTTAAAAAGATTATCAGAAGTCTGCCTATTAAATGGAGACCAATGGTAACTGCCTTAAAATTGGTAAAGGATATGAACAACACCTCTCTTGAGGAGCTGATTAGCTCTTTAAGAAGTCATGAAATAGAACTGAAACAAGATGAACCTTAGAAGAAGGTAAAGGCAGTTGCTCTAAAGTCTACTTTTGAGAAAAGAAAGGCTTACCGAGTTAAGAAAGAATCAGAAGAATCTAAAGAAGATTCAGATAATGATGAACTCTTCTTAATATCCAGAAAAATAAGTCAAATCTGAAAGCACAGACAAAGCAAGTTCAAAGGTCAAAGAAGGACATATGAAAGAGGTGAATCCACTTCTGTTCAGAGAAATGCTTTTGGAAAAGAAGTCACTTGTTTTGAATGCAACGAGCCTGGATATTACAAAAATGTTTGCCTAAAGCTTAAGAAAGACAAAAAGCCTAAAAAGGCTTACAAAGCCAAGAAGGGTCTCATGGAAACATGGGATGATTCAGAATCAGAAGATGAAGATTCTGATGAAGAATAGGCAAACATGGCATTCATGGCCAGGACCAGCAAAGGAGAAACATCATCAGAAGACGAACTGACAATAAATTACGAGTCAGACTCTGATGACGATAAAGAGGTACTTTCTTCTTTATCTCGTTATGAACTTGAAATTGGTTTAACTGAATTAATGAAAAGGTATCAATCTCTTCTATGTAAACACAAAATCTTGAAAAAGCGTGTTGTGGCTACTTCAGAGAACACGACTATAGATGAGCAAAGTATTTCTGTTTTAAATGAAAAACTATTTCTTTTACAAAAATCAAACATTGCTCTGAAAAGTAAAGTGTCTAGATTAGAAGAATATATTCTCTCTAATACATTGTTACTGACGAAGTAATCAAATATGATAGAGTTTTTCAACACTTTATTGCTAAAAACATAGATAGAAGCAAAATGGCTTTAATGATCTATGGTGTTAGTAGAAATGGAAACATAGGCTTCAGGTATTCAGGACCATCAAAGAAATTTGATGAGACTCTGAATGTCAAACCAAAATATCTTTCTGAACATTATGTGCCTGTTGGCACAAATTTGAAATGTCCTGAACAAAGAGGTTCTGATACTTCTATAGCACGAACACAGACACAGAAGAAAATTTTTAAATTAAAGTATCATGCACAAATTTCACATGATTATTTTGTTGCACGAAAATCCAAAGGGGTCAGAACCTCTGGAACTTATAACAAAAGATGATCCATAAAGTGGGCACCTAAGGATAAGATAATCTACATTGCAAATCTCCTTAATGGCGCCATTAAAACACCAATCATGGTGCCTGGATAGTGGATGCTTGTGACACGTGAAGGGCGAAAAACATATGTTCTAAGATTTTAAACTTAAGTCTGGAGGCGTCGTTGGCTTCAGGGGCAATCAGAAGGGAAAAATCATCGGTTCTAGAACGATTGGTAATGGTAAATTTCCTTATATTAACAATGTTCTTTTAGTCGAGGGTCTGATGCATAACTTATTGTCAATCATTCAACTTAGTGACAATGGTTATGAATTTATCTTTAATCAAATGTCTTGTAAAGCTGTTAGTCATAAGGATGTCTCAGTTCTGTTCAATGGCAAGAGGAAGAACAATATTTACAAAATACGATTATCAGATTTGAAAAATAAAAATGTAAAATGTCTTCAGATTATTCAAGAAGAGAAGTGGGCCTGACATCAACGTCTGGTTCATGTTAGCTTGAGAAAGATTTCTCAACTAAATAAACCTAGATTAGTCAGAGGTTTTCCAAATCTGAAGTACTCTTCAGATGCCCTTTTGTGAAGCCTGTCAGAAAGGAAAATTTTCAAAAACCTCTTTCAAAGCTAAAAA